GTTGCATCTTTGGGACCCTTGCGTGTGGAAGGGGTGGCAGGGGCTTTGAGTCCCCTGCGAGAGACCTCGACGAGGCGTCCAGCGATGCCGCACCCAAACAGGCTCCTGCGCCTCCTTTCGGGCGCACTATGGCTCCAGGAGGCCATCCGAGAGCGGCCAAACGCTCCCTCCTGGTGCCAGGTGTTCTTCGCTGCATTGCTTCTCGGGCTCCATGAGTTCAGCATAGCTTCGGAGAGCTCCAGAGTGCCCCTTCAGGCCCTAAGCTCGCTTGAGACAGCCCCACGGACCGAGAAGAATCCGAGAGAGCTCCCAGATTCTAGCACACCCGAGGCAGCCCCGAGACCGAGAGAGAGAGAGAGAACGAGAGCGTTAATGGATCCTGTTAGTACCTCCCCGAGCGTCCCCTGAAAGTTCCAAGAGTGTTCCGAGAGCCCGAGGACGGCCCAGCGTGACCCCTAGAGCGCCTCCAAACAGCCCAAGAGGGCCCAGCCCCCAGAGAGGCCTAAGGTGGCCCAAGAGAGCCGCAATGAAGCTGCACCCCTGAGAGCGCCAAGACTGCCCCACGAGTCTACAAAGACACCCCTCCAGAGCTCCAGGTGCCTCCGACGACGGTCGAGGAGAATGCGCGAGAGCTCTCCGAGACGGCCAAGGAGGCCCCAAGAGGCCCCACCGTGCGCACGAGAGGCCACAGGAGAGACTCTGAGAGGCCCCACGAAAGCTCACACGGCAAAAGCAGCAGCAACAAGTTGCGTCAAGCACCAGCAAGCAACGTGCAACAGCAAGCAGCAGCAACAACCAGCACTGAGCTGCAGCAGTTGGCAGCAAGCGGCAGCTTGCAGCATGGATCGAGGGCAGGCGGCAGCAAACTGCGGCAAACGGCAGCAAGCCAGGGAGGCCTTGCCCGACATATCTGTGCCGCGAACATGGTTGTACTCTCAGATGGTTGTGCCGTGCCATGTGCGAAGATAGGAAAAAGAACAATCCCATCCATAAACATACACTCTCTGAGGTCCGCGCAGGTTTCTCGGATCGGCGCTCGACCCCCCTCCCTGGCGCGCGTAGCGCGCCAGGGGCGGCGCCGGAGGCGCCGCCAAGGGGCCCCAGCGCCGATCCGAGAAATCCGCGCGGACCTCCGAATTTTTATAGTTGTTACGTAGCACCCCGCACCGCAAATGCGGATAAGAGTGAGGGGGCGGTGGGGACGTCGGCAGTTTGCGAGACTCTGGAGAAGCCCGCCGCAGGCGCCAAAGTTGCACAAATCATACGAAGAGCCCGCCGCAGGCGCCGATTTTTTCGTTAAACCAATGTGGCTAGGTCGCGGGTGGGTCGCAAAGGAGTCGCGGGTGGGTCGCGGGTGTGGAGGGCAGAAAATCCACCCCAGAACAATCACCCCGACAAGCGAAGCCGCTTAGTAAACGCACAAGGAATGAATCGAACAGGGTAGGGCTGTTTAGTCAATGCCCAGAGCCGTTTTAGGAAACGCCAATTGTCGGGTCCGGATGGTTTTTCCTCCCTTGAGGGTGGGTCGCGGGGTGGGTCGCGGGTGAATCTCGGGGTGAGTCGCGGGTGGGTCGCGGATAGGTCGCGGATGGGTCGCGGATGGGTCACGGGGTGGGTCGCGGGGTGGTTCGTGGGGTGGGTCGCGGGTGGGTCGCGGGTGGGTCGCGGGGTGCGTCGCGGGTGGGTCGCGGGTTGGGTCGCGGGGTGGGTCGCGGGGTGGGTCGCGGGGTGGGTCGCGGGTGGGTCGTGGGTGGGACGACGACAACAAACGACAACAACACCAACAACAACAGCAACAACAAAAACAACAACAACCACAACAACAACAACAACAACAACAGCAACAGCAGCAACAACAACAACAAACACAACAACAGCAACAACACCAACAACAACAACAACAACAGCAACAGCAGCAACAACAGCAACAACAACGGCAGCAGCAACAACACCAACACCAACACCAACAACAACGACACCAACAACGACACCAACAACACCAGCACCAACAACAATCATTTTAAGACTGTTCGCCCTTATCTGCTCGAGTGTCCAGTAACGCGCATTTCCAAAACCCTCGATACCCGCCTTCTTCGCATTCGATCGAACCCCTCGTGGGGGGTATATCTTTCTTCCCTGCAGGCCGGGCCCCGGCAAGCGGCGGGGCGGCCGCGGACCGTCGGCCTGGCCAGCGGCAGCGCTGATCGGCGGGGCGGCCGCGGACCGTCGACCCGACCCCGACGACGACGACGACGACGACGACGACGACGACGACGACGACGACGACGACGACGACGACGACGGCGACGACGACGACGACGGCGGCGACGACGACGACGACGACGAGCGAAAGCGAGAGCGAGAGAGAACGACAGCAGGGCCACAAGGACACGAAGTAGGCCACGAAGGGCGACAGCGGGGACACGAAGGGAATGCGTATGGGGCCACGAAAAGCGCGAGCGCGCGGGGGCCACGAAGGGCAGATAATGCGGGGCCACAGAAGGCAACGATGGGGCCACTGAGGGTAGCAACTGGGCCACGTAGGACAGTGAGGGGGCCCCAAACGGCGACAGCGGGGCCACGAAGGGCATGCACATGGGGCCACAACGGGCGCGAACGAACGGGGGCCACGAAGGGCATACGTATATTGGGCCGCGGAGGGCAAGGACGGGGCCACTGAGGGCAGCAACGGGGCCACGAAGGTCAGCGATGGGGCCACGAAGGGCGACAGCGGGGCCACGAAGGGCATGCGTATGCGCCACCACGGGCGCGAACGAGCGGGGTCCACGAATGGCATACGTATATGGGGTCACGAAGGGCAGCGAGGGGGCCACGAAAGTCAGCGAGGGGGCCACGAAGGGCTGCAACGGGGCCACGAGGGATACCGACGGGGCCGCGAAGGGCAGCGAGGGGGTCACGAAGGGCTGCAACGGGGCCACGAAACAAAGCGAGGGGGCCACGAAGGGTTGCAACGGGGCCACGAAGGGCAGCGAGGAGGCCACGAGGGCTGCCGTGGAGCCTCGAAGTGCAGCGAGGGGGGCACGAAGGGCTGCGACGGGGCCACGAAGGTCAGCGAGGGGGCCACGAAGGGCTGCAAGGGGGCCACGAAGGGCAGCGAGATCCCGATTCCTAGGTAATCTGTTCGGGAGTCCTAAGCGTGAGCGCGGCTCCTGGGTGCCTGGGTGTCGGGAGCTCGGCGCTTGAGTAAATGGCAGGAAATTCCAACGCAAGGGCGCTATTCTTCAGTAGATTGCAAGCAAGTCTCCAGCGAGAGCGCGACTCCAGAGCGCCAGAAGAGCGATTCTTGAATACATTGTGAGGAGGTCCCAAGCGAGAGCGCGATTCCTGAATAAAATGCGAGGGAGTCTCGGGCGGGAGCGGGGGTCCTGGCTAAATTGCGAGACGGTCTAAGGCGGGAGCCGTTGTTGTTGTAACCCGGGGGCCAGGGGCCCAGTTCGAGCTTCAAGATTCTCCCTGATGAAAGCCAGGTGCGAGCGTCGAGGGGCACATTTTGACTGAGAAAAAACAGTGTGCATTGGTGGGGGGATCAACACTAATTCTTGACGCTTCGCTATCCCCACCAGCACAGCGGGTGACTGGGGCCAGGCCCTCTGGTTTCACCCAGGGCCAGCGCTCCACGTGCTCGGGTTGGTGGGTCTTGGGAGCCGTGTGGTCGCTTCGGAGTGGTTCAGCTTTGAGGCAGACGCAGCGCTCCCCCTGGATCCATTCCAGCCTTTCAGGCAGGTGTTCGACGTCACCTCGGCAGCTTAGCCCACTTGGCTTGCATGCGCCGTTGGTACGGCCCTGGACCTGGCGCCTGGCGACTCGTTCATCGTTCACCCCGCCTGTGCAACCTCCAGACGTGTGAGCCGTGTAGGCCTCTACGCGTACGTCCTCGCGTTCTCTGAGTGGTTCACGCCACACGGCGTGCACAGAATTCCTCGCATTTTGCCTGCACGTTGCCCGAGCTTCCCTGGGTGTCCTCAGCCTGTCAGCTTCACCACGCGGCACAGCAGCTGCTTTGTGAGCTGGCCCGGCCGGCCTGCGGCGCGCCCAGAAGCTAATTTGGCCTGTTTCCGGGCCCCGGACAGCTACTGACTCCGCCTGCGCCTTCGCTCGCGGGCGCGACCGAAAAGTATCCCCACCAGCCCTCTCTTTCCATATGATTTGGACGGCCATCAGCCGTATGTTCCTGCATACACAAGGATGGGACGGCCATCGGCCGTATGTTCCCGCAGTCTGACTCGCATTGTTCGTACGGCCATCGACCGTCCCCCGGCGCTGGACAGTCCTTGTGGACCATAAAGACGGGGCGGCCAGTTGTCGTACGATTCCGCAGCTTGGCTCGCATCGCTTGTACGGCCATCCGTCCCCTGGCGTTGGACTTACCTGGTGGACGCCTCTTCTCTCGCCGGTCTGGTGATGTCTGTTCCCACCTGCCCGGTCCGCCTTCCCGCGCAATGCGCGGTTTCCTCCGTCCGGCGTCCACGACGCACGCCCCTGGCCAGCCCCCAAGTTTGCGTCTGCATTCCCTGGGCCCTGGTCTACAGTACTTGCCATAGCTGACCGTGTCTGGCGTCGGCTTCGGGGATTCGTATGCAGTGTTCCGGAGTGGTGCAGCCTTCTTGCAGCTTCTGCGCATCCCCTTCTGGCGCCCTGTCACCGCCCGTTTGGCTCGTACCTTGCCACAGCAGTGGCCCTGGCCCTTGGCGCCCTGTGGCGACATGGTCAGTTCGTACCTGGTCACTCTCGCCCACGGTACCTGAGTTCGAATGCGCTTGCTTCGGGCTCCGCGTTCCTGGTAGCGCGCCGCCTCCTGGGTTGGCCCGGCAGTGGAAGCGCTCCGCTAGGTTGATGCGTGGTTTGCAGATACAGAGCTGATCATGTTCTCCTGGCGTGCAGGACTTAATTCCTTTCTGGCGTTTTGGAGCCATTCACTCGCATGGTGCATCTGCTACCCTGGCCGCTTGCAGTCAGCTCAGCCAGCTCCCCTTCAGCCC